GTTCCTTTTTTTGCCAGTTACAGGCTGTTGCGGCTGGCGGGTTTCACCGCGGCTCGTTTTTCTACTTTCATTTAAATAAATTAAATAAATAAGATTTTTTCATTGTATTCATTTCATTCAGGTTGAAGTTTCCAGAGGAGTTCATCATGGAAGATGTCAGGCTACGTTCATTCAGTGGCAAAGACACGCTTGGCTGGGATACGTTTTATTCTTTTTTCTCTGTTTTTCTCTCTAATTTAACATTAAGTAAGAATGCATACACGCACACACATACACACACAATTACATTAAGTAGCTATATAGGTAGGTTAGATAGGCATAATTTTAACTGTAGGTAGGATAGATAGGAAGCATCCAACACTAATGTAGTTGAATAGGTAGGCGCGTAAGTTTATCTCTTCTGTTTTTTCTTGCACCAACATTACACGCATCAGCGTATTACACACACACACACACACACAAATACATACATAAACACATATGTTAGTATTTGAGCGTAATTTTATTTCCATTACACATTCTAATTTATTATTACTAAGGTTGAGAGTAATTTAATTTCATAGGTAATTAAGGGCAATAATGTAATTCTAGGAACAATCTTGTAATGTAAATTAAAACGCTGTAAGTATCGATAGGTAGGCTAATATAAGTTTTACATTATTATTATTATGTTGGAGCCCAAGGCATTACGTAGGTGGTGGGGTGGGCGCCGATTGGCTAAATGAATTGGGCTCTTGAGTTTTGTAATTTTAGGTAAGCTAGGACCGTAATGTAATGAATAGGTAAGTTAAGGCTACGTTGTAACACATACTCATTAATAGATTTAGGGTTTAAGTTTTATATTATTATTACTAAGTTGGAGCCCAAGGCATTACGTAGGTGGTGGGGTGGGTGCCGATTGGCTAAATGAATTGGGCTCTTGAGTTTTATAATTTTAGGTAAGCTAGGGCTTAATTGTAATAAATAGGTAAGTTGAGGGTACGATAGCCGATTGACTCTGGATTTCAAAGTCTCTTGTCAGAGGTAAGTCTTGGTGGCCAGTGGTGAACCGGCAATGGTTTACTATCCGGACGGCAATGGTTTACTATCTGCACGGTAATGATTTACTATGCGGCACGGCCATAGTCTACTACCCGCACGGCTTCCGGACGGCAAATGGTTTACTATCCGCACGGCAATAGTCTACTATCCGCACGGCAATGGTTTACTATCTGGTGCCCTGGCTGTCGGTGAACCTCTGTGCAAGGAGGGAGAATGAAGGGGGACTTTCGACTATCGTATCATTAATAATTTAATACAAATTAGCTAAGGTAATTGAATAGGTAGATAGGATTATTTTTATTAAGCAATTTGAGATGCAGGCACCGCTAAGTTTTCTGATAAGAATTTTCTCTTTCTCCATCAACACGGGTTGTGTTTCAACAACAATCTCGAGGAGGACTGGCACCAGTTTTGGAGGACAACGTAGGAACCGAACCGCATTCAACATTCTGCCTTTATCGAATGGACGACGGTAAGTTTTTTTTACATTTTACTTTTTTTATTATTTTAAAATATTATTTATTTGTCATTGTTTCCATTTTATAATTTTTTGCTCCTAAGATTCTAACATTCATTTACTACTACGCTAATAAAAAAAATTTGTCTACAGGATAATGAGAGGTGGGCAGTGGTGGGAGTCAGCACGTTTCAGATGGTTGTCTCATGATGATTTACGTATGATGATGGTGGTGTTGGAAGAATCAGCGCGTTGGCTGTTCGACTGACAATCAGAAGTTCGGATGAAATCATGTGTGCCGACCAGATGGTGGTCGGTGCAATGAAGTACTGAAACGACGATTTTTGAACTAAGGTTTAGTAGTTTCGTCTTTTAATTTTTCTCATTGATTGATTCATTCATTCATTCATTCATTCACGCATTCGTTCATTCATTCACTTTATCACTCAATCTTTCAAATCATTTTTCCATTAATTTATTTTTTTAATCATTGAATCATTAATTAATTCATTGACTCTTGACTCACTCAGGCATTCAACATTCTGCCTTTGTCGAATGGACGAAAGTAAATTTTTTTTACATTTTACTCTCTTTATTATTTTAAAATATTATTTATTTGCCATTATTTTCATTTCATAATTTTTTTTCTTTTAAGATTCTAACATTCATTTATTACTAGGCTAATAAAAAAATTTGTCTACAGAATGATGAGAGGTGGGTTGTGGTGGGCGTCAGCACGTTTCAGATGGTGGTCTCATGATGATCGTTCCGATGACAATTCGAAGATGACAATAAGAAGTTTCTGGAGAGTAAACGCGCGCACATTTACGCACATATATCAATACAACACACACATACACAACATCCATTCATTCGGTGTCGTTGTTATGTTTCTCTTCAACTTTCTATTTTCTTTACCGGACTTAATTTTATTCATAGGTAAGTTAGGGATTGAGATAAGTTGAACAATCGTAGGTAGGCTAGGGCTTAACATTAGTTAAAAAGTTTCAAGTAAAATAAAAACGCTGAAATATGTAAAATAAAATACCTAAAACATGTAAAATTCCGAAAACGTAGAAAAAAATATTTGTAGGTAGGTGAGTTGAGTTAATGATTATAAGTAAGCTAGGGCCCTGAGAGTAATTTAATTGTAGGTAGGTGACTGACTACTATTCTTGCGACTTTTTACTAGTTTTTTGTGATGTGTTAGTTTTCGATTCACAGCCCCACACCAACAAAACAAACTACATTTTATTCTCGTCGTCGCCTAAAATTTTACCTTTTTGAACAATCTTTTTAATAATGTCTATTTAATTATTAAATGTTGACTGGTTTCTAATTTTTTTTAATTTGGTTATATAATTTTTGGATATTTCTTGATTTACTTTGTATATATGCATGTATAAATAATTTCTGTTTGGTATGTTGATTTAGTCATTATGATGTGCTGTGAACTGTTCTTACTAAAGGTTCATGTTACCTGGATTATTATTTTTCAAGAACTTCTAAGGAGTGTGTACAATAATAATGGATAATAATTATTTTTTTTTATCAGTCGATATTTTATTATTAAAATTCGATTTTTTTAAAGTTACGTTTTTACAATTTTTATTAACCGTCACTTTCCATTTTTGAATGAATTCAAATAAAAGCAACTATTGTGTTTTTCTTTCTTTACTAAAATCTCGAAATTGTTTGTAGATTTGTACGGTTAAGTGTTTGAACAAGCCTCGCAAATATTTTTTTTAGTTTTTAACAAAATTCGTTTATTCAATTTGGTTCATTGATTGATCGATTGATTAGTTGATTGAATGAATAATTGATCGATTGACTGATTGATCTCATAGCATTGTACATATGAAAAAAATCCGATTAAGCCAACCTACGGCTCTTAGTAGCAATCAAACTAAGATGATGATGATGATGGCAGACAGTCAACCAAACATACGGACAACCAGACAAAAAACCCAACACACATACCATACAAACAAACCTTATAGATGATATTCTTGAGTTACTCCACGTTAGAAACGTACAATCAATCAATCAACCATCCAATCATTCAATCAACTAATCACACATATACAATCAAGAAAGCCGACCTACGGCTTTAAAGCATTATAATGATAGATTGATTGACTGATTGACTACTGACTGACTGATCTCATAGTATTATATTATATATATGAAAAAAAATCCGATTAAGCCAACATACGGCTTTACTTGGCAACTGTATTTCACCAGAAAAAAGCAATTTCTATATTTATATTGACAAAAATAATTGTTATATGAATATATTGATTTATTTAAAGCATTATATGTACAGAAAACCGCCATGACACAGTTGTATGAAACTCAGTAAGCCACTGCTGTAAGCCAACGTATGATTTCAGCAACCAGTTTCTATGAGAACCAGCAGAATGTAAAATATTCATTGAATATAATGAAGATAGTGTTCAAATAACAATTTTGATCTATTTAGGCCGTTTATTTTATATTAAGTAAACAAATTTTTAACATGATCGAATAGTGTAAAAAAAAGGGCGACTATAGTTCAATCCTATTTAGCCAACCTTCGGCTTTAGTAAGCCACTGGATCTCACCGGACCAAAAGCAATTTTTATATTCAAATTAACAACTCAGAGCATATCTCAAAACCCTTCTGTTTGCAAAATTCACTGAGTAGCGCTGCTGAACATCGCGAAAATAGCGCTTCACGAACTAATTTATAATTTTTCAATAAACAGCATGTTCAAATTTCTGAAGAATATGTATTATAAGTTAATAAACTGCTTTCAACCCAGAGTTAATTACATCATAAACATTTTATAAAGAATTTTCAGCTCAGTCAACTACATAAACATTTTATAAATAATAATGTTTCTTAAAGAACATATCTAAAGAACATATGTTAATAAACTGCTTTCAACCTTTCAAAACTGACTAATCACTAATTTTTGTGCTCAAGCAAGCAGTCAGAAACTGAAAAGCATGAAAATTAATGTCGGCAAACACCTCGCTACTTTTCACTATCTAAATGGCCAACTTATTAAATAAAACGTGTAAAAACAATAAAATTTAAAAAACCTTCTTGATTTCGAGTAAAATATTTTGTAAAAATCTTCTTTTTAGATGTAAAACTAATGCTTTTTTCGCCGTAGAAATAAATAGAATTCCCATTTTGCCCGGTCATTTGAATGTTGGAAAAACGCGGATCAATCGCGATGGCTCTTTATAGCAATCTACCTCACAGGTAAGGCAAGAATCGAAGATGTCCCAAAAAGTTATTATAATTTTTTTAATGTAATTGTACTTAGCTGGCAAACATTTTTCATTTTATTTTTTAAAAAAATTCATTAACACTTATAAAATAAAAATTACTCAGAAAATCGTTTAAAACATTTATACTGCTCATTAACGAGCATCATGGCAGTCATGTACACAATACGGTCGCTAGGCAACGAACAAGTGTTTTATATAGTTGAACTTTTAGTTGCACCGTGGGAGGAGCTTGTGTGCCCTCTTTAAGCTGCTGACTATAAATACATTACTGAGAAAACCAGTTTTCGTGTTTCACTATCTCGAATTAGTAGCCAGATAATTTTCTAAAAGATGTGGAAATTCGTGGTGGGGTTCCAGCCCCATCACAAATTGCCCCGTGGCTGGGTGGAGGTGTTGAAGAACATCTTTAAACCTTTCATTCAAAGCCAACGGCAGCAACCTGCAAGAACTGCGAATCAAGTTGCCAACCTAACAAAGGTCATCCCTAATAAAAACCATCTGGTCAATGAGGTCAAAAGGTATTTCGGCCAGAAAGTTCTGAACTCACCGACGTTTTATCGTGGTGATACTTTGGCAGGCAGGGCACTCAAAAAGTACAGTGGTTTCTCTTTCAAGTCCCCTACTAAATTTAGTGTAAAATGGACTGGCCGACTGTTGAGATTTGGGTTTGTTGGTTTCGTGGTGGCCAGCAAGGATGAGATAAACATTTCGTTGTCCGATGATTCATCATGGGATTATAACTTTCCTGTTAGTGAGTTCAGTGTAAATTAAATTAGTTGGTATGATGTTTGTTTGTTATAATAATAAATTAAAAATAATAATGATGATTTGATTGAATGATTTATTTTATGATAATGATGATGATAAAGACGATCAAAATGTTGATGTAGGAAGTTTTTGTTGCCTATATTTTTGAAGTTTGGTTTAGTTTTAGCTCATTAGGCATTGGAAAATTAATTTTTTGAGTGGCAGCGAGCGATATGAATATATGATTTTAAATTCCACAAATTATAAAAAATGAAATTTGTTGCTGGGTTAATTAATTTTTTTTTAAATTAAAAATTTATCATTGATTTTATTTCTTTCATTAACAGAGCAAAAGTTATTTGCTGACAATGGGTACGTTATAAAATGAATGAATGAATGAATGAATAGACAAACAAGTGAATGAATGGATGATAGAGTGAAAAAATAAAAGATGAATGGATGAATGAATGAATGAATGAATGAATGAATGAATGAGCAAATGAAACAGTAAATGAACAAACAAACGAATGAACATAGATACAAGCTAACAAAAGTATAAAAACATGATTACAAATTTAAAAAAATGACGATGATGATGATGGCGATGATGATGGTTATTAAGATTGACATAATTTTTTATTATGATTGAAATAATTTTTTTTATTATAATTAATGTATATATTTTTTAAAACTTCAATTCAGCCTTTGATAAGATCGCACTTGACTTTCAAGATCAGACTGCGAACTTTGTCAACAGACACGACGACAACGGTGGTGATTGTGATGTCGGAATTGATGATGATGATGATAATAATAATAATAATAATGATAACCCCACCCACTTGGCTATCAATCATAAAATGATTGGGGATGTTGGTGATAGAGATAGTGAGAGCGACGACATTGTCGGTGATGATAATGATGTTAATAATAATAATAATAATGACGTCATCAACAGCAAGAACAACAATAATAACAATAACAATAGTGATGACAACATCATCATCAATGGTGATAATGATGTTAAGGTTAATAATAGTTCTTCTTGTGTCATTGTTTACAAGACGGGAAGAAAAGGTGACGACGATGACGATTTGGTTGCTGGTTATGATAATGATCGCGTTCATGTTGTTTTCGTTGGTAATGATGATGATGATGATGGTGTTGATGATGGTCTTGTTGTCTGCCGTGCTGATGATGATGGTGATAATTTGGTTGCTGGTTATGATAATGATTGCGTTCATGTTGTTTTCGTTGGTAATGATGATGATGATGATGATGATGGTCTTGTTGTCTGCCGTGCTGATGATGATGGTGATAATTTGGTTGCTGGTTATGATAATGATCGCGTTCATGTTGTTTTCGTTGGTAATGATGATGATGATGATGATGATGGTCTTGTTGTCTGCCGTGCTGATGATGATGGTGATAATTTGGTTGCTGGTTATGATGATGATCGCGTTCTTGGTGATAAGGATGTTGTTATTGGTGCTGGTTGTAATGACGATGATGATGGTGGTGATGATGATGGTGGTGGTGATAGTGGTGATATGGATAAGGTGGTAGATGATTGTTGCAATAATAATAATAATAATAATAATAATAATAATAATCTGAAAGTCCATAGCTGTGATGGTAATAATAATAATAATATTGTTAACTTTAATAATTTTCATAGTAACTTTCTGAAAGCTTATAACAGTAATAATAATAATAATAATAATAATAATAATAATAATACTGCTACTGACAATGTTATCATGAAGAAGTTGTACGATTGGCTGGCTTTCAACCAATCAAAGGATTTGTTCAATTCAAAAATTTTTGGTGGAAATAATAATAATAATAATGTTTATAATGATGATGATGATAGCTTTGAGATCGTTTCGAATCCAGGTGATGGTGATGATGATGATGAAAATGTTAACAACAACAACAATAATAATGATGAGGAAGAAGAAGAAGATGATGATGGTGGGGGTTATGATAATGATAGTCCTCTGGTGAAGATGCTTGACAAATTGCTAGAAAGGTGCAAAGCCCTTCAGCTTGAGAATCAGCGTCTGAGGGATGAGAAGGAAGTTCGTAAGAGGAATGATTTGGCTCTGAATGCTGAACTGAGGGAGGCTCTAAAGGAGTTTGATAAATTTCATTTTTCTGACAACAACAACATCAACAGCGTCATCAACAACAACGTCATCAACAACAACATCAACAACAACAACTAAGACGACGACGACAATAGCCTCAGAACCAATTCATTTGAATGACAGCTTTTGAAAAATTAGCATTAATCATTGTCGAAACATTAACAATAACAATAATTACAACACATTACAATAACAAATATAACAATAATAATAAGAATAATTACAATAAACTTTCTACCCCATGAGCTGACTACACCCATGATGGCGTAATTGAATTATTGTTCGTCTATATTTACTCACAGAGCCTTGAAACGATTTGAATAAAATAACTCATTAATTTATATATATATTTATCTTTATTGCTGTTATTAAAGGTTCAAAGTTATTGCTGTTGTTATATGTATCATGTTTGTATCATGTTTGTATCATGATACATCAAAGGTCAAATAGCCCTCAATGCGGCCCTCACAGCAAAAAGTTATCCCACCCCTGACATTAACACTGAGGATGGCTTGATCGTACATTTGACTTGATTTGATTATTTTATTCTATTTTATTTTTAAAAACATTTTATTACAATTTATTCTCATTATTCTGTTATGGCTTTCGAGATATAAGAAGATTTTTCATTATTATTATTATTATATAATAATAATTATTGTTTTTGTTATTTTTATTAATGTCATTTTTGCTGTTATTATTATTACTCATTACAATTATTAACGAATAAGCAGATGAGCCAGTAATTTATTCATAAATTAATATGCAAATAAGTTTTGCATGTATGACTTCATGGTTGGCGTGTGGTACAATTGCAGCATCAACAAGCCGAAAAAACTAAGTAAGGAGAGAGTTATTTGACGTCACGAGGCAATAACTTTTTGAAATCGCTTGCATTCGCGCCATTAAATAATATACGCGCGGATGAATGAACGATCAGACGGATTTCGGAAATGGAAAATAGAGATAAAAAAGATTATGAATAATGCGTTGATGCCTTTTTATCGCCACCCACTTATTTTCTTTCTCTCTCCACTTGTTTACTTCCGGATCCGGCATGGTTCGCTATTTAGGATTTTCGATTATCACTCGGTGATTTGTTTTGTATATTTCTTGCTGTCATGTGATGTGACGTTTTTTCATTTCTGCCCTACGGTTTGTTTTCTCCTCTTCCTATCATCTCTTTCTCTCTCTCTTTCTCTCTTGTTCTCCCTTTGAAATGCTTATCTTACTTCATCATATGTTCTTATTTTTTATTCTTGGCATCTGCCTTCATTTTCAATATGTCTGTAAGCTTGTACATATTTTTTGAAACTACTGCCATTCAATTTTTCTCAAACTTTTCTCTTTCTCTCTCTTTCTCCTTATCTTTTTCTCTCTTTCTTTCTCTCTCTCTCTCTCTCTCTAACTATCTCTCTTCTC